TGTCTCTGTCTCTGTCCCTGTCTCTGTCTCTCTCTCTCTCTCTCTCTCTGTCTCTCTCTCTCTCTCTCTCTCTCTCTCTCTCTCTCTCTCGTGTGTGTGTGTGTGTGTGTGTGTGTGTGTGTGTGTGTGTGTGTGTGTTTGTGTGTGTGTTATGAATGTGTAGATGCACTCACTCAGGTTGTTTATTTTTCTCATCATTTCCCACCCTTTTCCTGAAGTAACATCTCATGATGTTACCTGTAGCTTAGGCAGCTGGCTAGTGATACTCCAGCATCTCCTTGTCTCAGATCTACCCTGAGCCACAGCATTGGCTTTACAGACACCTGCCCCTGAAGAGGTACTGAAGAGCAGAAAGGAGGGGCTCATGCTTACTCAGAGAATACTTTATGGACTCAGTCATCCCCTAGTGCCCCCTAGAGATATTGAAAAGGTAGATTTGTAGCCTGTGTTTGATAGAAACAGACAAAGCTACTTCCTATAGAGCTGTTTCTTACATGTGGGAGAGTAGACAAGCATTCCATTTGGAAATGCTGCATCCCCCCCCCCCCCAAAGCAATGCAGGTATTTGTTTTTCATTCCTGAAATACTGTGACAGTTACTTTAGCTTTGAGAGGTAATACTTGGTGTCTGAGTGTGAGTCAGATGCCTATCCTAGAAGCTTTCTTTGGTCAGAATGTCCCACAGTCCCACAATATTGTAATTCTTCTGTGGGTTTTCCCTGGGCAGAGTCTCTCTGGGGTAGACACCATGTTCATTTTGTTTTGGTCAGTGCAGTTTCAGTATATAGAGGCCATGAGGAATAGCTAGAATTTGTGTGATAAGGGCCATGAGGAACAGCTAGGACTGTTTTTATTCATTGAAATTATAAACATACCTTATGGCACACCAACTATATTGTATAACATGCAGCATTTTTGTGATTTTTATCTTTTTATTTAAACATTCAAATTATTTTCTTCTATTTAGTGACTATTCTTTATATATTTGTTGACTATTTGTATGTCTTCTCTTCAGAATGTCCATTCAGATCTTGCTCATTTTTAAATTAGATGTAATTATTAGCTTTTGAGTGGTTGGATTTCCTTGTATATCTTGCACACTGATCTCTAATCAGCTAGTCTGCAAATACTCTCTTTCACTATTTATTTATTTTTATTAATTAAATTTACTCATTTATTTTGTGTCCTGTCTGCATTTCCCCTCCCTCCTCTCTCCTCCTCTCTGCCCTATCCCCCCAGCCACTCCTCCTCTGTTTCTGCTCAGAAACTGGCAGGCCTCCTGTAGGTGTCAACAAAGCATGGCACATCAAGCTGAGGTAGGACTTAGCTCCTCCCCTTGTATTAAGGCTGGGCAAGGCAAACCCGCTAAGACTCCTAGCAATAGTGGAGAGGTAGCCTGAACTGGCCATCTACTGTAATCAGATTGGTGAATACTCCAATTGTCATCAGAGAGCCTTGATTCAGTGACTGATGGAAACAGATGCAGAGATCCACAGCTAAGCACTGAGCCCAGCTCAGAAAATCCTGTTGAAGAGGAGGAGGAAGGATTGTGTGAGCTGAGGGGGAGTGGTCAAGGTCATCACAAGGGAACCCATAGAAACCACTAACTTGGGCCCATAGGAGCTCACAGACTCTGCAGCATTATTTAAAGTGAGATAGAATCAAATAGACATATGGGCCTTTTGGATACGTGACTGACTCTGTAGACAGTTTTAAGAGAAGCTTTCTAAAGTCACTGTGATGTGTGGTCATGCTATTGAGATTCCAAAATCACTGTAATGAGTTGTCATACTATTGAGATTTGTCAGCAGAGGAAGAAGCTGGCAAATTGATTTGATTATGTGGATTTCCAAGTGGGGATAGAAATTTCTGTATTGGTGCTGTCCTTAATTTTCTGAGCAAACTTTCCAGATTTATCTTCTGTGTTTCTATCAAATATTTTCACCAGTTCTTCCTTACTGAAGATTAAACTCTCCATGCTTGAACTAGGTATCAGATACTACTGACTGGGCTGGGCTTGACTTTCAGTGTTAAGACCGGTTGTCTCACACAACCAGATCCTTGGTTTTGATTTCTGACACTGATAAAACAAAAGCCAGTCCCCTCATAAGCTTCATCCTCCCTCTGTTCCCAGGCTTCTATTTTCTCCATATGCTCTGCTCATCATCCAAACTGAACTTGTCATTAGTCCCCTTCAAGAGGTTATTTTCTTTCCTTATAGTATGGAATTGTTACTCAACTGGTGTTCTGATCTACAAGCCCTTCTGCTTCAACACTTCACTTAAATACTAGTTAGCCTGAATTCTTTCCTGCATCATTTCTATAAGTTTTATGATGCTTATTATTTCTCCTTTATTATATGGCTTTTATACGCAAGTTTATATACTCTTTTTTATTTTAAGCCATTTGAGCTCAGAAACAAATATCCATAGGTCTTGACTCTTCTTACCTCTCAGTCCAATGCCATGAATATTTCAGAGTCTTAGTATATATTTACTGGGGTCCTGGACATATAGCATTAAATAGTTTGGACATTTAGAACTATGGCCACTTTGATGTTTTTAAAAAGAGGTCTTGAGATTTAGGGTTTTATTTTATTTTTATTTTTATTTTTTTTTTGAGATAGGACCTGATAACACTATCTGGCCTTAAACTCACTGTACAGTTGTTGTTGACCTTAAACTTCTGATTTTCTTGCTTCTACCTCCTGAGTGTGTGCATAGCCACATCTGTTAAATGTCGTGTTTGGGCTCAAATCCAGAGTTTTGTGTGTGATAGGCAAGCACTTTTTCTATGAGATAGATTGCTAGTCTTGAATATTAACAATTTCTATTGATATGAAATATAGTAGTGGTGCATATAAATTTGTAGTTCAGCATTACAAAGTAAGTTACTTTAAAATCCTGAGTATTTGAGATACTCAGAAAGCAGCGTGCTCTGAATAATTTGCTTTTCTGGTTAAGTCAGAGTTAATAAACCTATCTTTGTATTTATTTCTCATTGGAGAATTGTTTTTGAAATATTCTAATTTCCAGGCTTAGTGGGTGTCATTAAAGTTTCTTATATATATGAAAACATCAGAATACCTTTAGGTAATTATTATACACCTTAATTTTTGTGATACATAATAATATATGTAAAAAAGGTATTTGAGTTGTGGCTCAAGGGGTTTTACTCCAGTATATTAAACATGTTTATTATTTTAAAATAGAACTAAATATCTGATAAATAGTTATGCATTGTGAAAAACGGTTATGCATTTCAACAAATGCATATTTAAGTGGTTGGTTATTGTGAAAACATCATAGAAAACTAATATAGTGTGTGGGTCCTCTTTCCCTCCGGGCCTGTTGGCCACCAGGCCAAGAGGGGAAAGAGGCAAATGGGTCAAGAGAAAGCTTTCGTGGCCTATAAACACTAATGGAGACAGCCCTCTGAGAGACAGATTTCGGTGAATTAGCTCCATTTTATTCTAGAGTAAAAGGAACATATAGGATTGGGAAGCATAGGGACAAACCCTAGTGTGCGTTAAGTGGCAGGCTCCTATCTTAAGGCTTAGTATGTGGCAGTAGGATCCTCTATCAGAGCCCCTAGCACGAGTCTTCTTGGCAGGGATCTGTGCCAAAGGTCAAGTTAAAGATGAATCAGGCATCTGGTTTTAGAGACATCTTTTAGATAAGGTCAGTCCTCCAGGCCCAGGGACATTCTCCAGAAAAGGGCAGGTAAAGAGCCAGAAGCTTTGCTGAAGGGAGGGAGTTCCATGTTGAGGAGCTATTGAGATAAGCTGCTAGGCCCTGGGGAGACTGCAATGTCTCCCAACAATACAGCCATGGCATTTAAGGTACTATTGTCAAATATGGCTTCTGTTCTTGACCAAATGAGATACATTATGAAATACATTACTTTTTCAATTTTTGTAACCTCTTAATCATATAAAGAACCAGAATTCATGTTTTATTTATTGAAAGTATTCAATTCTTTCCTTTTAATTACATATTTTCCAATTTTCTTTTTTTCAGATGCAGGGACTTTCTATAGGCTGACTTTGAAGTCGATTTCAGATGTCTGCCATCATGCTTGTCTTAGTTTGTTATTTACATAGACATCAAATTTCAGTTTTTGTCAAATGTTATATTTATGTGTCTTATAGTATATATAATATTGCATACTTAACGTACATACATATTTGTGTTAGATGTTCAGGCTTTGACGCTTTCTCATCCTAAATATTTTGATTTTGAAAGTTTTCCTGAGGGTTGGGCTCATGGCTCAGTAAGCACGTGCTTAGCATTTCTAAAGCCCTAGCATAGATCTCTAGAACCGCACAAACAAAGCAAAATAACAAAGATGTTTTCCTGAATTATGTGTGTGGTTTAGAATTTGTAACTGCTTTAACTCTGGGGTGACTCTTTTTGTTATTTTTCAGAAGTTTTCTGAAGCTCTGATAATCTTAAGACAACATTAAGAGACAAATAATCATGAACACCAAAGATTTTGTAGTTATTCCCTGGGGGAAACCTGGAAATTCTGTAAAACTAAAATATAAGTAAGTACATATTTTTAAAGTAAAATAGTTGTTAAAGTTTCTACATGTTGTAAATTATTCTTTTCTTTTTAAGCAAGAGAATGGTAAAAGTCAAATTTTATAAATCCTTATTTCTATTTTCTCATATTGCTGTGTTTTCATATTACAGACTTTAAATTTATAAGCTATTTTCATATAATAGACCTTAAATTTATAAACTACTACATTGTTAAAATGATAAAGTCATTTTGTCACTTTAATGATAATGTCATTTTAATAATGTAGTTTGTAAATTTAAGGTTTCTAATAGTTTTCAAAATTATGACTAAAATTATTTTTTAACAATAATTAAAGTGTGAAGTTATAAATGAAAGTTGGATTCATTAATTATTGAAGCAGTATAAGAGAAGGTTACATTCTGTAACCTTTATTCAAGGTAAATAATATAAAAAGAAAATAAAATTAAAGGGTCAATTAAGATCAGAGATCTTTGAGCATGGACACTGCTGAAAACAACATTTTAAGAATTGAGAAGAATGTTCTAAATGGACTTGGAAATCCATCCCTGTAAAGCCAAATACTTCTGGTGTCATGGGCATTGATTCTGAGCATCCTCAGTATTTTGTGGCTTTCCATGGGTGTTAAAGGGATGTGCTCACAGTTTCCCTTGGAGATCACCTAGCATCATTGGAAGTCTTCTCAAACACTGCTAAGAGTCAGCCAGAATGTGCTGGGAACACGCCACCCTTTTAAAATTCTAGATTCTGAGTTTCCTAGTTCAGATTAACGGTCCTATATTTATTTGGTGTCCTTAGAGCATTTCCACCTGTTGACAAAAGCTTGGTGCATTTGCTTTTTAGTGAAGGTTTATAACCTCTGTACATTAAATCTCTTTCCTGATCCCCATTATTTCTTAGTTTGGGTGAGGTCATAATATTCACAAGGAAGGAAGGAAAGTTTTAAATTCATAATAGATAATGAAATCTAGACACTTGGTTTGGCTTCTAGTTGTAGAATGATCAGGAACTAAATCTAATAGGAGGGTGGAGCTTCAGCTACTATGAAGAAAAATTTCTTAGAGCTATGGAGATGACTCAATGCAAGAATGAAAATCTGAGTTCAGTACTGAAAACCACACGATAAAAAATGGGTGTGGTGTTACATGCTTAGAATCCCAGTGCTGGGCAAAGCAGAGATGGGAAGATCCTTAGGGGGGTTCTCTGACCCGTCAGTTGAGTCTACTTAGTGAGTTCCAGCTTAGTGAGAGGTTCCGTTTCAGAAAAAGGAAGAAAGGCAATAAATAAATAATAAATAAATAAATAAGGAAAAAAAAAGATGTGAGTGGTGCCTAAGAAATGATAGCCAGCCACATGCATGCACATAGATGTGCATGTACGTACCTTTGCCTCCTTCTACAAACAAATATGCACACACACACACACACACACACACACACACACACACACACACACACAGGCACATCTTTTGTAGATAATCTTCTACAACAAAATATTAATAGGAGTTTTTTTCTGAAGAGACACAAATTGGTTCTGATGTTCACTCACAGTTTTTTTTTAATGTATGACATAGTTGTTGGACCCCAAATCTGGCGGTCTCGAGTGGGCGCCCCAAGAACCCAGACTCCAGTCCAGTTGATGCAATAGCAGGAGGATTTATTAAGCTTCTGTACAGAAGGGCTCCTCTGCTCCCAAGAGCAAGAGTTGCATCTTACTGCAGCCACATGGGGGAAAAACCCACAAAAGCCATAAGATTACAATTCCCATACAATTTCGTTTCACAAGATCATGGTCTGGGTACAGAGCGATCACGGAGGGGGTACAGTTACGTCAACAGGTACATTTTCCCTGAAACCTCAAGGGGGGGGTATCAAGGCAGGAGTGGAGTTTACACACAGGTCACGGTGGTCCTTCCTGGAACACCTGCAACTATCCCAGTCACAGTTGAGCACATCTCTTAACAGAAATCTTTTTACATTGTTATATGGTTGCAGGGGAGATTGGACAATGGCTAAATCAGGTTGCCCTTGGAACTAGATTTTTAGTTTCTTATTTCCTGGTGCTTGAATTTCTCTTTTTCTGAGGCTTGGGGGTGTAAGCCTGAAGGGCTAGGGTCTTTCAATAGTGATAGACATTTATTGAAGGTTTCAAGCTGCTGGTTCAACAGAATGAGTTCGTGTAGAAAGAAAACTCTTGTTTTTGGCTGAGGATATGACTCAGTGGTAAACTGCTTACCTAGCAGGTGCATGGTTCCAGGTTTGATCCCCATCTCTGCATTAAACGGATGACTGGATGAATGATGGCAGTTTTAACTATGCTATGAACTATGTGACATAGTAAAGGGGAGTGTAAAAATCATTTTCTTATATTTGTCACAGATATTTGTGCATATATGAAACATGGCTCCTGTAGAAAGCAAATAATGTTTTTACGCTTTTAGGTTTGAAGAGACACATTAAAGAGAATATTGATAGCAGGCAAATACTTTCAAAAAATATACTTCAAGCTGGGTGGTGACAGCACACGCCTTTAATCCCAGCACTCAGGAGGCAGAGCCAGGTGGATCTCTGTGAGTTCAAGGCCAGCCTGGTCTACAGAGCGAGATCCAGGACAGGCGCCAAAGCTACACAGAGAAACCCTGTCTCTGAAAAAAAAACCAGCAACAACAAATTATATATATATTTATGTAATTTCAAGAAGTGCATAGAAAGCAGATGAACTAAGTCATTGTTTAAGACTTACTAATAACTACAATTTAAGAGCAAAAGTTTCTGTAAAATTTGTTTGCCTCGGGGTTTATTTGCTTGCTCTACTAAATGACTGATCACATCATGTATCTTCAGAAATGCTCAGGAACTGCAAATGGAGAAAATTCAGCTAGAATTGGAGAACCAGAAGATGGAAAAGAAGTTGCGAGAATTCCAATCCACATGGAACAAGGGAAAGGAAGAAGTTAAGTAAGTGAAGACTTCAGGGAATTTTAGAATAAACACAATTTTCCCTAATATTATACTGATTTACACATGCTATTAATTTAATGGAATTACATGAAAACTGTTTGTATAACTTTTGTTATTTTAGTAAAAACACTTGGTGGACCGATGGCTTTGAACTGTTCTTGAGGAATAAGGAATATAAAATTCCCTTTAATTTTGTTTTCTGTGTCACATGAAGCACACTCTTTTTAAAATTACCAGGGCTTCTGTTTCCTCTAGTTTACTAACTTTTTTCTTTTCCTAGTTGTCTATTATGTTAATGTCCCCAGTGACTTATGGCCTGGAATGCACAGGAAAGCAATGAAAACTTGATCACTTATGAAACAATTGTAGTCAAGACACCAGCAAACCAAGTTGATGTTTGGGGCATTGCTGAGTAGTGTAATTTTTCAGGGAGCAAATGTGTCCTTGCACTACATCCAAATTATTTAAACCTGCAACTATATTTAAAACACCTTCAGTAAATAATAGATGACAATTTTATTTTGCTGGTGAAATATCCTTAATATTATGCTTACATATTGTCTTGTGCTAATTTAATTTTTTATTATAGCACTAACCAACAAATCTGATGTGCATCAAGAGGAACTGATAGTTATAGGATAAATTTTTTTTTTTTTAAGTCTAAGCTCACAACCAGTCCAAGTCCTTGCACCATTTAATGATTAAAATCCTTTTCTCTTGAAAATGTCTCATCTTTGTGTAAGTCTTTGCGGCAATATATGGGTGTGTTTGGTATCTTTATAAATGGATTAATTCATAAGTTATGAAAAGTAATTCACATCATCATATTATGGTCAGTGCTCTATCCACATGGGCGCACATTGAATTATCCTGTTTTTTAGTGGCTTAACTTTTCAGTATTTTGTGAAAATAAATGACACCATGGACCTGTGCACTTCAACATGTACTTGTGCCTTTATACAATAACATCTTTAGATAAATTCCTCTCTCTGTCATTTTAAGTTCAGAAGCATGCTTATTTTATATTGCACTTAACATGGGTAAATTGCCTTATAAATGGGCTTTAGACATTTACAATCTCCTACAAAGCATAAGACTATACATTTCATATGTATTTGGTTATTTTAAGTGTCATCATAATCTTTGTATATTAAATTTATCTCTTTTTGGTCTTCAAAATAGAATATCCATGAACTATTTCATCCATTGATGAATATTCCAATACATTTGTTAAAGTCTCAGCAATACTCATTTTTAGAGTTCAATTATTTAAGCTATTTACATGGAATCTAAACATACTTTCCTTAATAAGTAGCGTATTGATTTAATCAAGACATTTCAAATGTTTATCTTGCAGATGACCAGGTATGTCTTGCTGTTTTAATATTATCAGTAGTCATTTCTTTCCCTCTAAGTGATGTTTTTATTTTACTTAACTTTTTTGTGAATGTTGGTATATGTATGTGTGATTAGATACATATTTGTGTGTGCATATCTATTTGTGTTCGACCATGCGGAAGTCAGAGGACAATCCTGGGTATCATTTCTCAAGAGAGGCTCACTTGTTCCTTTTGAGACACTGACCTGGAACTCACCAAGCCTCCAGAGAGTCCCAGAGATCCACCTGTCTCCATGTCTCCACCTCCCTAGCATTGGGACTACAGTGCCTGACTTTTATTTACTTATTTATTTATTATTATTATTTTTTTGGGTTTTTTTTTTTTTTCGAGACAGGGTTTCTCTGTGTAGCTTTGCGCCTTTCCTGGGACTCACTTGGTAGTCCAGGCTGGCCTCGAACTCTCAGAGATCCGCCTGGCTCTGCCTCCGGAGTGCTGGGATTAAAGGCGTGCGCCACCACTGCCCGGCAACTTTTATTTTTTTAATTAAGAAAATTTTTTCATTCATTTTACATACCAATTCTTCCCGCCCCTCAGCCTCCCCCTCCCAACCCACTGTCCACTGCCCCCCCCCCACAAGAAGGCGAGTCCTCCCATGGGGTGGCACATCCAGTGGAGACAAGTCCAAGCCCTTCCCCCTGCCTCAAGGCTGCACTAGGTGTCCCATCACAGGTAGTGGGCTCCAAAAAGCCTGCTCATGCACCAGGGATGGATTCTGATTCTACTGCCAGGGGACCCCCCAAGCAGATGAAGCTACATAATTGTCTCACCATGCAGAACGCCTAGTCCAGTCTCATGCAGGCCCCACAGCCATTGATCCAACTTTCATGAGTTCCCACTAGTTTGGTTTGGTCATCTCTGCAGGTTTCCCCATCATGATCCTGACCCACTTGCTCATAGAATCCCTCCTTTCTCTCTTTTTGGGTTCTGTGCATTAACTCAAGTTCTCATGTTTGTAAATTAATAGCCCTACTGACAGAACTACCTTACCAGTTCTGATTTGGCCTTTTCAATGCATGATAATTTTCTTTTTTATTATGATAATTTTCATTTGAAAATCAGAGTTCCTGGAATCAGCACCCAGGAGAGAGTTTTCTTTAGCTGTGGAACATTCTGAAGGGTCTTTTAGAGCATTCTTCAACTTGAATGTGATTTAAGACTAGTAGTATTCTCTCCTAAGGTTTCATAGATAGTAAGTGTCACAGACAAAATAAAGACTTGTCATCCACTGACCAGGAAAAGGGAGGCCCATAGTTCCAGTTTGGGGTTTATTACTAATTATCTGTGTGACATTGGGCAGGTTTTTCAAAGAAAAATTATTCTTTAGTTTTATACCCTCAAAACTGATTTTTGTGGGGCTCAATGAATCCCTCTCTGAAAACTTTAAAATTGCAACTTGCCTTCTTTGTAATCTGTTATTTCCAATGTGGGAGCTCATTTGAAATCTTTGGAAATTCATCACCGGGCAGACCTGCTGTATATTAGCGGATATTGATTTGTTCTCTTTCTCCATTTTCATCTGTGGATGCCTAGTTTTAAAAACTGCATGACCATCTGTAAACATTTCTACAAATTAGTAAAAGTCAGTCACTGTAAATGCCAAGCAGTGGAATTCTTCACCTGTGTTTGAACACTTCACTTTCAGTCCTAGCTACACAAAAGTCACAAATACAGAGGAGTGGTATTAAAACTGATAGACTGGTGATAAACTAGGACACTGTTGACACCTTATTCCCAGTTTGTGGTGGTTTATCATACACCCAAATTTCTATTTCCTGAAAATAGGGAAATATATTTGTTTTCATTAAAAGGAGGAATGTTTGCAGTAATTAGGTTTTTGTTTTTATGTCTATTGAAGGTCAAGTGGATATCACTGGAAATCTGGAAGTGTGGGCAAATTGAGTAGCCTGTCACACCTAACATCACAAAGTAAAGGGAATGCTATTAAGGTAAGAAAACCATTTTCTGAGCAAGAGGACACGCACCATGCTTTCAGGTTTTGTGTTCTCTCTCATACCCAAGGATCCACTGTTGTTTTAGTAACTTCATTTTATGTTCACAGTCTTCAGGTTACTGTGTGGCTTTCATTATTCACATATGCTTTGCCTTCCATACAGAAGGTTATTTTTTTTTAAATTAAACATTTCAGAAGGTTCTTAAAAATTACTTTTAGGAGAAATTTTACATGCTGCCTTCCTCTGAATTCCAAACACAATTTTTCCAATAATTTGAGGTTTAAAAGATATAAAATACAATGACACAGTTCTACATTAGACACTAATATTATATGATACAATAGGTTATGGGCCTCAGTCTTGACTTCATATTATTTATTTCCTTAATACTGTTATATTCTGCTTGAATAATAATTGCTTATACACTCTTACTCTCATTAATAAAGATGTCCAAGGGGGAAAATCTGCATGGTAATTCTCAAGTTACAGATTACTTTATCATTACGGTACGTTATAAAATGTAACATTGCATCATGTTTATGATTGCAAGCAGCTAGGTGTTATTATATAAGGGAAGCTTTTTCTCTGGATTTCTTTAGTACAACATCCATGACTTGGTGAATTTTAACTTGCACAGTGTTTTATTTTTATATACCTATCATTAAACTTTCATTGGGTCATTTGGCACCAACAAATACCTTACTCGGCACTTCTGCACTTTCTGGCTTCAGAAAAGGCATTTCTTTGTACAGTGCCATCCCCTTTGTGAGCCGGGTTTCTTTCATTCTGGGGTGAAACATTTATAAGCCACTTTTAACTGGTCATTATCTTTCCACAGTGCTGTCCTGCGCTGCATTTCAGATGTTACTGTAAATACGTTAAGCATTTTGGCTGTGACCCCTCATGGTAACTCACTCTTGTAATCCCAGAACTCAAGTTGAAGCAGAGGGATTGCCATGAGGTCGAGGCCAGCCTGAGTGATGGTGTGAGACCCTGAGTTAAAAAGAAAAGAACAAAACAACAAAAAATGCTTGTGGTCATCAAATTTTTGATCACAGATTTTTAATGTAATGGCATTTATAACATGCTGCTTTGGACGTTTAGTGATATACTTGTTTTTAAGGGATTCCTCATCTAATATAGAGAAAACAAGTTACATCAAATATTGTTAGTAAATGTCAGTATTAAACATTTTTATATGTGTATTTGAGAAATAACAGTTCAGTTAATGAGTTTATATAAGGAAATATTTGAAGAATAAATTAAAATCCTTGCTTCCACAAACATCGTAATTATAAAAGAGGGCAGCAGTGGGAAGTGTAGAAGGCATCTGTCATGCAAGAGACTGGGAAGGAGGTAGATGCTTCTCAATCTAGTCTCAGGTACCTGGATGCATTTCACTTCAGTGGGATTCTCTTTCCTTACAGAGCTTGATCACTAGGACTTCAAGGTTACAAGAATGATTTATGTTGGTTTTTCTTTCCCAACTAACAATTTGTCTGTTACTAACAGAGTATAAAGCAAGTAGGGTGTACCCCGATTTGATTATGAAATACAGCAGAAAAGAACAGACTTCGAACATGAATTTCCTATATATTTCAATTTACTTATGTGCATACCAATTTATAGCACAAACACTGTAATATTAACTGTGGAAATGAAGAGAAAGATAAACCAAAATAAAAATAGGTGTTTCTTTGCTCCTTCCCAGTCCCATTGTGAAATGTTTTCATTATGAGTGCTTGCTGCTCTGGAGATCAGTGGACACAGAAGCATAGAAGGTTACAGGGGTGCAGAGGCTGTAAAAGGCTGTAAAAAGACCATAGAAGTCCTATGAAAGGAGTCTGAACTAAAATGGAAACAGGAGAAATGTAAAGAACAACATTGTACCAAAATACAGTAAGGAAAGACAGAGGAAGTCAAACACACAATCGAAAGTGCAGGGTTTACAGAGTAAGAGAGCTTGAAGGAAGAAGGAAGAGAAGTCTGTGGCACAAGTTCAGGATTTTGCTTGAATTCTCATGTGATAGGTAAGGCTGAGAAAATGTATCCCTAATAATTTACATAAGTGAGAGATGTGAAGACTAAAACATAAGGAAAGTCTGTGTGTGGTGTGTGGTAGCCCTCAGAATTTAATATTCCATATTTTATGCCAGCCAGGAGCTTATCTTAGTTGGCATTTTAGAACACTAAGCACTTTTATCTCTCCCAAGAGTCAGTTTCTAATTGTGGTTTCACAGATGAAGTAATTTCACATCAGAGAAAGAAACTGATTTCCTCAATGTCAAGCATGAGGACCACAATTCTGAATGCAGGCTGTTAGCATTGTTCTGAAATAATCTTCTGGTTTTCCAGTGAGGAAATCTTGACAATAAAAGAAGGGCAGGCCTGGAGCCAGTCTTAGGATTCCTTAGAAGATTAAAAGCAAGGAAAGCCTTTTTAGAACACGTTGAGATGCTAACACCATTCAATGTGTTGTACCTTAAAGAAACTTCACTTTAGAGCAGTGATTCTCAATGAGGCAGTTTTGTTCCTCTGGAGGCCTTTGGCAATGTCTGAAGATTTGTGCACTTGTTACCGTCAATAGAGGTTTTCTGTTTGATTTTGGTGAAGACGTCAGGACCAAGGTTGCGGCTCAACTTGCTGCAGGTTGCTGCTGAACTTGATACAGTCCACTGTAGGACCCCTTGGGGTTAGCTGAGGCCGAGAAGCTCTGTTTCAGCCTTGTAAATTAAAATTCTCACTCATTTAGCTATCTCGGCTGTTTTAGGTAAGTCAACCACTCTGATTCTCTGCTATGCATTCATAAGACATTTGTAACGTTTAGCGTTCTGAGCAAGGTAAGAGATGTTATATATGTCTACTCTGAATTATTACAATGTCGATATATGGAAAATGAGAATATTAAAAGGCTGGGGTTTAATTATTGAGCCACCATGATATCAGTGCAACAGTATATTTCTAGTATTTAAAAATGAGAGAATGGGAGACATGAGCACAAATTACTGGAGTGAACACGAGAGCAAGAACACATGAAGGTTTGACGGGGTCAAGGAAGAGTTAAGGAGTTTGGAGTTTGGCGGACTCAAGTCAGCCAGTTACAGGTTGAGGAATGGGAAGGAGGTAGGGGAGGCATTGAAGATGCAGACGACAGAAGTACCAATGGTTGGCGCTGTGGTCTTTGAGAAGGTGGTTCCTTAATGATACCTTCATTGGGGAAGGAAGAACCCATTTGCTCTGGCAAGAAAAACAGGCAAAAAAAAAAATAACATTGGTGTAAATAAACAAAAATGCTAGAGAGTCGATTTGACAGGTGATACAGTACGGTGACTGTATAGAAAACTGTGACGAGACATCAGCATCCTCATGGAGTTGAATGTGACAGCACCTGCCCAGCTAAAAGACAGGAAACAGGATGGCTATGCAATTCTTGAGAGTGGAGGTTTGGAGCAGCAGCTGTGGAAGTCATGCCCGGGGTTTAGCAGTAAATGACTGAACTTACTGCTAAGAAGTCCTGTGTGACCCTGGGGGTTATTCAGCATGTGTTTTCAGAAAACCCTATAGCATTATTTCATCACAATAGTAGGTAGAATGAGTAGAGCTGAGTGTGGCAGGAGAAGTGATCATATTTATCACTGAGAACCTCTAAGTTTGGAATTTTGAAGGTGTGGCCATTTAGAATGATGTCTAGCTGCAAGGTGTGGTCACAATGGTGGGGCAGGTAGAGGCATTTAGACGTCCACAGCTGCCCGAGTTTAAGAGCATCTTCAGTGCTGGAGGTCAGATGAATGGGCACTGAAGTAGAGTTACTAAACAGAAATGGGATGAAGAGAAATATGGAGTAGGTTTCTGATGTTTGGGTAGAAGAAGAACCCAACGGACTTTGATAAAAACAATAAGCAGGCAGTGCAGATCTTCAGTGGACGTGAACTGACCGAGGGATGGTGGAGAAACAGCACCCTGGGTAAAGGATGCAGATCTTCCCCCCTCTGTGCCAGTGAGTAAAGGGAGCAGAACAGTGAAACTAGTGGGTCTGGGAAAGTGGTTCAGCTACAGAGGGCTTCCTTAGCATGCAGGAAGCCCCAGCTTTAATTCTCAGTACCTCATAAATGACATGATGGCACCCATGACTTGGGAAATGGAGCAAGTGGATCATAAGTTCAAGATCATCCTCAGTTGCCTAGTGAGTTGGAGATCAGCCTGCTGAAAAGAAAAGAAAGAAAAAGAAAACAACAACAAACCCAAACCCTCAAAAATGAACTAGTTTCTGTAGATATTATTTTAGAGAAGCTTTGACCCCCAAAGTGGGTTTCAGTTAGTAAGAACTTTGGGGTGAAACACTTTTAGGATACAAAGTCCAGTTTGTGAAGTGGGTTTTTACACAGGATTTTATGGAATGGAACCTTAGGTTATATAGATAGTAAGCAGAGATGGAATATTTCAGGAGGTGGAAATCATTGAAAAAGTGCCCCTGGGGGCACTTTGGACACATGAAGGCACTGCAGGGAGGTTGCAGGTGTTTGTGGTGTCTGAGAGACCACTGACCACAGCTTAATCTACACCAGCTGCTCAGATGTTAAGGATGGAGAGCCAATTAAACCACATTGAGAAGCTCTTGTTCAATGCCTTCTGGCACAGCAATGAGACAGTGCCTTTAGCTTATTAAATTCTTGTTTCAGATACTCGGAATCATGTAAACATGAGTGTGTGCATTTGCATCCATTGGCTAACCTTATTTTATCACTCAATTATTTTCAAACATAAAAATCAGATTCAATGACAAAATTCAATTAGACTGAAGCTAGGGACTAGCCGCTTGTTCACTCATATTTTTATGCAATTTGGATAATTTGAAGTAAATATGGATACATTTATAGGACAGACACATATTACTCATAGTTAATAAAAATAAATTATGAAATTTCCCTAATAACTACTTTATTTTCCTGACATACCTACTCATAAGAAGCTCATTGCCAGGCTGATCACATTGCAATTCAGAATTCAGTTGCATCATTAAGGTAATCATACTGGATAATTCAGTTATAAAAAGTGAGGTTAAATTATCTGTAACTTGTATAACATTGCCAACTTAAAAAAATAAAAGTATGATTCATACAAAAGTTGATCATTTCAATTCTATTTTCTTTTCTGCTGTGTTTGGTACAGAAAACATCTGAACAGCTACTTCAAAGAATATGAACAATAAGTGCATCTTTGAAGCAAAACCACAGAGAATAATTAGGCCTAAATTTTCAAAGATGACTGCAGTTGGTACAGCCATAGATATAGAGACGGCCATTGTTCTCATATCTTCATGTACAAATTGGGCAATTGAGCATGCAAATTGCAAATTGAAAGCTGGGCATGATTCGACAGTGTCTATGTAAATGCGCACCATCCTCTGGGCTCACTGTGTACTTAAAATGCTGGTTTTAATAAGGCCCAGGCGAATGTGTTCAATTGGCAGGTCTCTTTTGCTGCCTACAATGTTAAGATCCAACGGCTTCAAGGGCTTGTTTATACTGAAATACTCGGTATTGGCTCTTATGCTCTCAAGTATATTTTAGCAGTCACATAAGAAAGTCCGGGATCATAAATAATACATATGTTGGGAAAGACCACAATGCAGAAATGTGGTTCTCTAAATTGTACAAATAAGATAATGCCACTGCTGTCTGCCCTTATGTGAACAGAGTGGTTCAGTCAGAATCTAGTGTAGATTCAGTTTTTACAAATACCAGACAGTGTGCTTCGGAAGGAGGAAGAGACTTCTAAACCTTCGAAGTATTTGATGCTAGTGTTTTCTGAAAATCAATTCATGCTGACATACAGTAATTTTTGTTAAGCTCCAATTATATTATATACTTGCAAGAGAATGCACTTCTGAAACTTTTTATAAGGAAAATATTCCTGGAATGTTGTGTAAAAACTGGTCTACAAACTGGGTTTGGCGGCTCATGCTTGTAATGTCAGTATTCAAGAAGACTGCCAGAAGGTTCATGAGTTAGAGGTTAGCCTGAGCCACATAGTGAGACCCTGTATCAATAAGAGAACACAGCCAGAAATGGTTTATATATACAATATTTATTAATTTTTCTTTTTAATGAAATTAAAAGTTTATATATGCATTTAATTATTGTTTAGTTTTATAATACACTTTTTTTATGCAACATGTACCCAGATGGTAAAGCTATCTAACGTTTTTGTTAATAATTACACTTTCTTTGGGTAAGACAATATGTACCTGGAAAATAACATCTATTTCATTACTGCAGCTCCCTGTTGGAAATGTGAAATTAAAGTTACTAAAGGAACAGATTCAAGGTAAGCTGCTTTCTGTACTATATCTTACAGATAAGGCTCTTCATATATCATATAAATTCATATAAGATCTTCATAAATATTAGGTATAAAGGTCAGTATTGTGTAGAGATGAATCCTCAGATCAAAGGGGTCTAAGCAAAACAGGTAGAAGTGGATGGATGTTGCTCTTACTTATGAGGGCTAGCAGGGCTTGCTACAGGCTCTACAATGAATTGACATATCAGACTTACCTGCATCCAGTTATTATGCAGCTAATTCTTCAGTGTTGTATGAGCATTTGGAAATAAATGCTCATAGTTTTGCTACATTGTTAATCAACAAACAAATAAAACAAACAAAAAAAATACTTTAAACTTATTATCTTGATTTTTTTTTTTCTTCTAGCACCAGCGAAACAACTAGTTAATTACAAAATGGCACATTCTTTTGGAAGTGAAAAGCCCAAGACTAAAAGAAAAGTTTGTGGACAGTGTGAGAACAAAGCTGCTCTCCTTGTAAGTACACTACAATGCAACCAAGATAGACCTGTCAAGGTCCCTTAGACATACCTCTCCCCACTGAGTCTGCTTACACAGCCCTAGGCTTACAACAGGCTTTTTCTTTTGCGCCACGAACCAGCTCCTGGATCACCACAAGGAGACTAAATATTAGTTATGAATGCTTGGCCTTATCTTATGCTTGTTTCTTGCTAGCTCTTATAACTTAACCTGTTTCTCTTCATCTACATTTTGACTTGGGGCTTTTTAACCTTTCTTTCCTTATGTATCTTACTTTCACTGCTTCTTGTGTTTGTCTGGCTGGCAGCTGCCTGGTTTCCAGCCAGGGCATGTTTGCAGATGTAACCAACCGTCTTATTAAATAAGAAACACAGAACCAATGTAAAAGAGAAAGCCAAGAGATCAGAGCTCAGAGCTAAAATCTCACCCTTCCTCCTGCGGTGGTTCCAGCTTCCCGAAAGAGAGCTATTTCTCTGTGTCTAAGTCGTTTCATAGTCATTCTTCCTTCTCATTGGTTGTAAACCCAAACACGTGACTGCCTCGTCACTGTCTGAATGTACAGCCCCCCAGGTCTTAAAGGCATATGTCTGCAATGCTGGCTGTATCCCTGAACACACAGAGATCTATGGGATTAAAGGTGTGTGCCACCACCGCCATGCTCTGTCTATGGCTCTAATAGCTCTAACCCCAGGGCAACTTTATTTACTAACATACAATCAAAATCACATTTCAGTACAATTAGAATAGCACCACACATGTTCCTCTCTTTTTCCCTCATTATCTTCTCCTTCTCCTCAAGACTAGATTTCTCCTCCTACTTATTCTCTCAACCTGCCAGCCCTGCCTACCTATCCCTCTCCTGCCTAGCTATTGGCCATTCAGCTTTTTTAGACAAATCAAGTGCTTTAGGCAGGCAAGGTGAAACAAATACAACACATTCTTACATCATTAAACAAATGCAGTATAACCAAATGTAACATACCCTTACATCATTAAACAAATGCAGGATAAACAAATGTAACACACCTTTACACAGTTAAAGTAATATCCCTTGGCATAAACAAATACACAGATATTCCACAACACATGCTGCTCCTTTTCATTACTGTTTCTCTCTGTGCTTGCAGACAAGTTTAACACCTCTACATAGCCACTGAACATCATCCCTTCACTCTTGCTTAATGGTATCATCTACAGTATTATCCTCTCTCTTTTCAATCATGACTAGCAACACATACACACACACACACACACACACACACACACACTAACACACACACTTGCCACATCTCTATAGTAAATACAATGTCCTGTCATAAATTTGAAAGAATGGACACCTCTGACACCATTCTCCATTTGTTTCATATCCTACATATCAAGATAGGGATAAGTGGTTTACAATGTGGATTTTTGCATGTCAGCTTTCCCTATGAAGTACATGACCTTTAGTAAATTATTGAGTCCTTCTGCAGATGATTTCCCAACTGTGGCCTATGCCACAAAGCTATGGATGGTTATAATTTGATGAAGTGCTCACCATTGCGTCTAATATACTCAAAGAGGACAATATCGAACATGGTTTTGTCATTAGCTTGCCACCTTACAACTTTATGTATTTAAAATATTGATAAAAACAACACTTCCAAACATTTAATTTTAAAGTGATAGTTCAGTGGCTTTAGGCTATTTCTCGATGCTAGAAGTAGAGAGAAAACTTACCTATTAATTTAACATATGTAGATGATTTAATTAGAGTTAGATGAGTTCTGAAAGTGAATACAGCTGATCTGGAATTTGCCAAATCAACCAAATAGTTTTAAAAATTGCATCCTGGTGCTTTATCATTGAGGAAACTATGCAGCAAAATGGAATCCTTATCTATGGTTTAGTATGTTTCTGCCAGTTGCACAAACTGCCTAAAAAGATTTTCCAGTTGGCAGTCATTTTAACCCAATTTAAATCCAAATACCCTTGTATAACAAAATATGTGAGCTTACTTGGCAACTTTAGCTTTGATCTTCCAGTCTACAAATATCTGTTGGGTTGCTTTTATTAAACAACTGTTAATAAATACTTGGCTTAGAATTATATGCTGAACCTGATTTTCACTTCCCTGGTTCATATTATGTGGTAGAAACTGCCAAAGGTTTATGAAAAATTCAGAGAAATATTAGCAGTTATGTACAAGAAAATTGGGCAGAATGTATTTTGAAATAGTCATTAGTATAATAATACTATCATACAGCTATATGAAATTATATCTTTAACATTTATTTGGCACTTAAAATTGTATAATTAGGGGCTTTTTGTTATGACTTCTTAGAAAGACTTCATAGAGGTGTTTCTTTTTCTGCTTAAATAAAAATTCCAACTGTATGTTTTTAATCACTTTTGAAAATGTATTGAATTAACAATAGGCCATTCAATCATCTGAAATATTCGATTTATTAAAGATTTTATTAGTTTGTAAAGAAAGGGGATTTCTTTGTCTCACTTGGGGAACCCCCTGGATGTACAGGTTAATGGTAATGCCACAATAACATCCAAAGCTCAAGATTTCAACCATGATAAACACCTATGTTCACTCAGTCAATCACTGACCATTGAAATCAGTATTATTTCTTGACATAGACTTTCTGACACGCTCTCCGTTCTTCCATATACTTTCTCCTTCATGTTTCCAGTCACTGTTCTCAGCCTGGGCCTAACTGAAACAGATGAAGGATCTTATTTCTTTATACTGCAGCACAGCACACTGTGAAGGTGCTGAAGCAATCAATGTTACAGCTGCATAATAGCAACTGCAATCATAGCAAAGTTTTATTTCCTCCTCTCTTTACTCACAATGGTCCCTAACAACATCATGGGTACAGGCACATAACAGACCCAAACTTTCCAGAGTTCAATCATTACATTTTTGTACTACTGGGAAGATAAACTGTCCTGGGACCATCTTAGTAGTCAGAAATACCACATCTTTGTTTTTCCTTTCCTTTGTGCACAGTTCTGACAAGATTTTCAAAACTGTATCTTATGGATCACCAAAAAAGAATGCATTCATGGAAGCATCTGGAAAGTTTTGAAAGGGACATTATAATAATACATTGTTACCAACTAGCGTTGATGTGCATAAAGATAAAGCATGTTATAAAATGAGAGTTTTAATTTATAACGTTTTATTTCCACCAGGTCAAGGAGCTTTGACCAGATGCTGTTATTGTTTTATGGTTACCATCTAATGGTGCATGTATCCATGCATATAATATGTATAGCCAACACTACCACAGCTATTGTGCTTACTTGTTCTGGGAGTAAAAAGGTTTTCGGTGTTACACTTTAGCATTTCATCACATTCCAATGACATCTGTGTAGTTGGAGGCATAAATACAAGGACATTAGCATCTTTGTGCAAATCTTTTCTGAAAGTCACACTGTCTTTGTGTTGTATCATTAAAGGTATGCCTGGAATGTGGGGAAGACTATTGCTCAGGATGCTTTGCTAAAATGCACCAGAAGGGGGCACTGAAGTTCCACAGAACAACTCTTATACAGGTAGGACTCTAAGAGTTCATTCCTAAAATGTTACAACATAAATGCACTTAAAACTATCTTATTATCTAGAATTCAGGAAAATTTACATTAATTTCTAAAATCCTGTTATATATAGTCAGTCTTGACGTGTATCTTGAAATTATTTCACTGAATGGTAATCTAGATTCTATTTTGCTATTTAAAGTTTTTAAATGTAGTTACCCAAATTCTTAGCTTGATTACAATCCTCAGATTATGCATCTTTCTTTGAATTTACAATATTAAGATTAGACAATATTTTTATCTATCAAAGTTTTAAATTAACAGATGTTTTATTTCAAATATGGTTTCTAGCTAGTTTGTGAACAGAAATTTGTTTTCTTGCATGTTATGTAAACATATATTCACCTTCATGCACTATCATTTAGATAAGGTCTTATCTCAAGGGCATCCTTTTCTTTCCATATGCTAGGATCTTTTATTTTATTCTGTTAAATCTATTGATTAGTTTGTAAAATGTCTCAACTTTAGTCCTGATAAATGCCTTTTAAACTTTCATACTTAAAGAATAAATATGGTTATATAGAGAAATAGTATTACCCTAGTTACACTTAATGTTGCATTCATTTGTCATAAATTTAAATCCTTTTATAGAAATTTATTTGAAATTCATTTCTGGAGTACCTTCTAGCTGAGTCTATGCTAGCCAGTGACATTACATAGCTTAATGCTGCTAACATGCTGCTGGTAAGAACCCAGAAATAAAATGAGAAAGACCCGATTTAATAGTTAAAGATTTCAATAGCCATAGAGAACAAAAAGGAAATGATCAAATTTGTGTTTGAAGACATTTTTGTGAGATTCAAATCTTTATATGTGATCTCAATGTAAATATGTTTAACTCCTAAAAATGCTGACCCATAATGATGAGGAATAGAAAGCATCTAATAGACCTGCCTCACTCATATGTGCCAAAGTCTGTGTGTGTGTGTGTGTGTGTGTGTGTGTGTAGACTAGGGGAAACCCATCATTCTTCATGAGCTTTCAACATGTTTTTTTGTGTCTTTGTTTCTCCCGGGGCCCAAGCTCACTGCTTAGGCTATATTGCCTGGCCTAGTAATCTTTTTTTTTTTTTTTTTTTTTCTTCACCTCCCCAGTACCCAATTTACAAATGTATCTTGCATCATGCATGGCTTTTTATGTGTGTGCTGGAGATTGAACTCAGGTCTATGGCTTCCAAGGCAAGCACACTATCCAATGTGCTACCTCCTCCTCCTCAGTCCACTACTTTCCAATTGACACTCAATTTTTGGAACTCCCAAACAGAAAGGATGGAGAACATGAGGGAAAAAAACTACCCTGTTTATCTCAGAATAATATAACTGAATACCACTAGAAATAAAAATTTATTTATCAAAGGAAGTCTAATTGTTAAGATGTAACTATTATGGAATTCATCCTGGTGAAGGTAAATGTCCAATGGCCTCACTGTAAGTTCCTACTGGGAAGTTCCCACTGGATGGTTTATTCATCCACTATCTGCTTTTAATCACCACTCAGTGAGTTGAAACATGATGTTGCTTTAGAATGGAGACACAAAGAAGAGTGAACCGCGGCTTCTGTCTTTAATCTTAGTGTTTGATCTTCTTGATGTATCCAAACTGACTTCTCTTTTCCTTTGTCTTCTCTTCTCACTTCTCTGTCGCCCCCCCCCACTCCAACCGCACTTCCACACACACACCCTCCACAAGACTTTGATATGATATGACTCTCTGTAGCTATGTGGGTATAGTGTGGGTCAAATCCTGCTTACCAAACCCAACCCAAACTAGAGAGTAACTTCTGAACACTGAACTTTTTTCTGTTCCAAATTTTCCCATCAGAATAATTGAAATGGATTCTATAACTGGATTTAGATGAATTTGATCTTTTTATATCAGAATCCTATGAGATTCTAAGTATAGAATTAATCAAGAAAGTAGGAATGCATTTACTATGTATATATAAAGTGATATACTTTTTTTTTTAACTAGAGTATATTTGTTTTAAAATGTAAATTTCCTTTGGTCTCAATAGTATCTTTGCAGAGTATTTACAGTAATCTGTAGGCTATTTTTTTACTTTTATGTAATTTTTATAAAATATATAATTTATAGACACCAGTAGCATGTGTTCAAGATCATTTGATGTTTCAACGAACATGTGCCTTGAGAAATACTACCCAAATCAAGCCAATGAACATGTCAGTCACTTCGTCCACCATCTTCTTTTTTTCCCTTCTTTTTTTGTGATAAGAACACATAAAATACTGCTGGCATTGCACTCTCCAGTTTTGATTGCAGAGAAGGAAAGGCTGTCAAGCCACAAATAGTAAAACGATATTTAAGCTCCTTCAGAATTTGAAATTGAAGAAGACACATTTGTCTCTCAAAGTGAGAATGGGTGAATTTTATGCTGTATACAAATTGAAGAGTATGAGAAGCAACCCTGACTCCTTGGAGGATTTTGATACATACCAAAGTGCTGTCAAATGACTACTGAGAAGACATCCTCTTCTGAGTTTATGGTTTATCATTCCTATTGCCCTCTGGTCAGTTGATGCAGGTGCTACATGGGAGGAGTCCTGGGAAGCCTGCCTGCTGGTCCTCCCTCCCTCCTCTTTCTCTCCTTCCTGTCTTCTCCCCTGTTGTTTTCCTGGGCATTCATGCTTTCTACCACCTTTCTTTTTCTTTTTCTTTTCTGGAACTTCTCTACCAATTGGCAAATAACTTAAATATCTTTGTAGATAATATTAGTTAGAAAAACTGTGTTTTTTTTTTTTTTTTTTTTTTTGGTGTTCATCTTTTTGGTAATGATTACATTCATGAAATTTCACTGACCACTGAATTTATACCTAATCTGATTGGAAAATATTAAGTAGCATTATAGAAATAACATTACTATCTAAGGAGAACACATTCCAGCTTAATAGCTATTTACTATATTTTCATATTTTTTTCTACTCTGTGATACTTTTTTGCAGTTTTTCTAATATGTAGCTAAATTTGATACTTTTAACCCATATAAACCCTTGGTCTACAGAATAGCTAGTCTTGTGATTTAGTCATTACATACATTTTTTAAGGCATTATTTAGTTTTACTCAAGAAAATTCCTACAATACTGAAATCAAGTGGTTTATTACCATTTTATGCTGATTAACAAAAACTTAAAAGGTACTCTATTTGATTTAGATTATTTATGTTTGGTAATTATTGAAACATTTTAGGTTTCCATGTCTCTTTCAAACCCTTATAATTAGTCATGTGCAGCATAAAGTATAATTGAAAACTATAAAATTTCTATTTCTTTAATTAGAAAAATTGTCAGTACTGAGACTTGAAGGTCTTTTTCCTAAATGACAAATAAGGTCTTAATATATCAAGCATTCATATATTTTTTTAACAAAATATTCTCAGACACAGGAGAACACTAATCAGAGAGAACAGAAGGCTGCGGAAAACACACAAAAGGATTCTACTGTGAAGTAAGACGAGCACAGGGGAGCTTGGATTAAGTAAATCATTAGTAGATAGATTATAGTAAGTACCTTTTCCTAATTGGAATGGAGATTCTCTTAACTACAAAGTTGAAATCTCAGAAGCAGAGAGGTTATGAATGCAAGAAGAGACTAAGCGACACAATTGCATATTGTCTTTTATGAGGCCTTCTGTCTCCATAGGAAGGTGTGTTACATGAGCATGGGTGTAATTAGGAAAACATGTTTGTATAACTAAACTTACAGGGAAATAATTGCTGAACAAATGAGTCTCAGTACTAGAATACAATTTATACTTACTAACTTCATTATATATTTAAATCGACAACATCCATCACCAGATTTTAGGCTCACATTATAACTGTTCCATTAATGTTTAAGATGGTACATTTTGATATCATGATTAGTCATTTTGGAGAATATCATAATTAGTGAGTAGTCTAACAAAGGCCATTTGCCGTCCTCATGCATATTATAGGTGTGCTGTGCACGTCTCCCAGATCTCTTATTTACGGCTTAGGTGCTTCCTTCCCTGACCGCTGAAACACTGCTGTAGACAGGTATCATTGAGACCCTCTCCAGAACATTTTCTTTCCCATAGCATCTACCACTTCTAACACTACTTCCAAGGGGTGGCCTGGTTTGTTTGTGTTCTGTTGACACCACAAGAAACTGGATAATTTATAGGAAGTAAACATCTACTCAGATCACAGTTTTGGTGACTACAAGGCCCATGCTTGAGAGGCTGCGTTTGGAAAGGAGGGCCTTGTGTCAGGCAAGACACTGCAGAGGCTTGAGGTGTACGGACCGTTACATGGTCACAGGGGACAGAAACAAACTTCCAAGACAAGCTATTGATGCAAGATTTAATTAGTCATTATCATCATGTAAAGATCTCACTTGGTACCACACCTCAGCATCTCACAAATGGGGTTTAGATGTCAATGAATTCTGGAAGGAGGCCTGCAGATCATAGTGTAACCCCACCCTCCTTTCCCATGTTCAGACAGCCTCTTTGTTTCAGTTTAGTCCAAGTCTGGTGGCCATGATTCACCTCCCTCCATTTTTTTTTTCTTGTCTCAAATGCTCTCCCTGAAAAGAGAGTGGGAGGTGAGTTAGCACAGATTCGCACAAACAGTAACGACCAGCCTGGTGCAAGAAGGGCCTGCCCCATTACAACTCCTTCCCAGACTGCCGTTCAGCTCCCTTTTTGTAGTTGGCATTGATGTTTTTTTTTTTTTTTTTTTCTTCCTCTGGTTTTCTTTCTTCTCTTGCCTAGAGTTGGTGTTTTCTGAACACTCTAGAAAAACTCTGAAAGACGGATTTTATAATTGTTTTTGAGGAGAGCTTGATTCGTGACAATATAGAATTCAGAGTAAACTCATAGCTCCGGTTATTGTTTTTGTTTAAGGGAAGGACAGAATTGTTAAAGGTCATTGCATAGAAACTGAGAAGTTGGTATTCAAGTGCGAAGGTATAAATAG